TGAATCTTCTTTCGCTGAATAGCTTTCCAAGGCAACTGAGGAGATATGGAGTTTGAAGGAACTCCTTAATCAAAAAGAGGTTTATGCGGGAGAATTGGTTCAAACACTTACTCAAGCTCAAGATGATCTTCGTACCTCTACCAATATGATTTAGTTCATGGAAAGTTATTTTTCTCCTTTGAAGACAACTTATGATTCCTTTGAAGAAGAAAAAAAAGAGTTGAGAGCTGAGATTGACCAGTGAGAAAAGGATTATGAGAATATCGAGAATAAATTGTCATTGGATGTGAGCTGGACTTTTTTAAACACTCGTATTGAGACACTAATGAAAGCTAGCCAGGACGGTTTTGATCTTGATGCTGAGATTACTAAGGTTAAAGAAGCAATTGATAAACTCAGCAACGTTAAAGCTTTCCTTCACCTAAAGATCCCGCAAGTGATGGAAATGGACTCATTCCTGGTTAGGCTGATGTTCATGCCTCTTCTTCTCAAGTTAATCCTTCTTCTCCCATTGGTGATGTTCACGTGGATAATGCTCATTAGTTTTTTGTTTGATCAACTTTTTGGAAGTTTGTTGTTTTTTGGGAAGGTTGTTTTTTTTGGTTACCCCTATCTTGTTGGGGGTTTTAATGACAAACGAATACTTCTGTTTTTTCCCAAAGTTTAATATATGTGTTTCTATTACTTTTACCGTTTACTTTGCTCTTTGATACTTGACCTTTTGTTTTTCTCTTTGATATTTGAGCTTTTTCCCTTGCATTTAAAATAGCTTTAATAGTCCATGACTTTGATAAACATGGGTTTTAATAAAAGAGGGCCATTTTATGTAAATGACACTGATGAAGATAACGACTCATCTTCATGTTAGTCTAAATATATGAAAGTCGAAATAGATGAAAAAGGAAACAATTTATGGAAGTTTCATGCTTTGAACTGACAAATAAATTTCGTACATGATTTTCTCTATTATTCGTACAACACTTTCACAACTACTTTCTTTGTAGCAGATTTTTTGATACAAATTCAGGTTTATTATCCCGTGACTAAATGTTAGCCTTAACCTAAAAACTCGTAGAAACTTGGAAAGTATCTTGTATTCTTCTTGCGAGTTCACACATTCTCAAGGTTGCTTCAAGGTGTTTGATTCAGGCTTGATTTTAGGCTCTTTTGCTTCTTTGTCTATATGTATAATCCCCCAGTGTTAGATCTTTGAAGTATGAAGTCTCGAACGCTGGATTGCTCCTTCTTTTTTGGCCCATTCCTTGAAAAGAAAAATACACACGGGACTCGGATATATACGTTTAGATGATGACTGCTTAACCATTTCTTTCCATCAGAAAAGTTGAAACCTAGACGGGGAATAATTTAGTATTCCGCGTGTCTTTCGGGTCTAATATTATCATTTGGTACTAGATAGCTTTTTGTCTATCATCTAAAATTGTTAGTAAAATTTAAAAGAACAAAATAAAATTATATCTGAGTGATAGCTGACCATGGGCGCTTCTTTTGTCTAGAAGTAATACTTCTTCAAATGAACAATGTTCCAATTTGATGGTAGTATGCTTCCATCCATGGTCTCCAACTCATATGCTCCCTTTCAAGCAATGCCTCGAACCCTATAAGGGCCTTCCCAATTTGGACTTAACTTTCCCGCATTAGTCGCTTTCGTTGATCGAAACACCTTTTTGAGGACGAAGCCCCCAATCTTAAAGTACCTTAGATTTGCTTTCCTATTGTAATATCGCTCAATCATCGGTTTTTGAGTGGCCATCCTTATTAGCGCTACTTCTCTCCTTTCCTCTACTAAATCCAGATTCGTTTGCATTTCTTTTTCATTTGATTCCTCAATAGCATGTGTGTATGTCATACTTGGTTCACCTATTTCTACTGGAATTAAGGCTTTAGTGCCATAGACGAGTGAAAATGGAGTCTCACTCGTACTCGTTTTTGTTGTTGTTCGATAAGCCCATAATACCCCTGGTATCACTTCCGGCCACTTGCCTTTTGATTCTTCTAGTCTCTTCTTCAAGTTATTAATAATAACTTTATTCGTTGACTCAGCTTTCCCATTGGCTACAGGATGGTATGGCACAGATGTAATCCGTTTAATCTGCCAACTCTGAAAGAACTCTATGATTTTCATGCTTATGAATTGTGGGCCATTGTCACACACGATTTCCTTTGGAACTCCAAAACGACAGATAATGTTTCGCCAAATAAAGTCCCTGGCCACTTTTCCTAGCACCTGTTTGAAGGTTCCTGCTTTTACCAATTTTAAAAAATAATCTGTTAAAACTAGTAGAAATTGGACCTACGATATCCATGCCCCACTTCATGAAAAGCCATGGCGAGATAGATGAATGTAACAATTCTGCTGGGCGATGCATGTTATTGGCATATCATTGACATTTATCGCACTTGGCTACAAAGTTTTCTGTTTCCCCCTCCATTTTTTGCCAATAGTATCCCGCTCTTATTAAAGTCTTCAGCAAAGATCTTCCCCCAGCATGATTGTCGCAGTAACCCTCATGTACTTCCCTTATCACATATTCTGTTTGTGAGGGACCAAGACACCATGCTAAAGGTCCACCAAACATCTTTCGGTATAAGTTCTCGCGAATTAAGCAATACCGAGCGGCTTTTTGGCGAAGTACTTTTGACTTCTTCTTATCTTCAGGTAAGATTCCGTACTGTAAAAAGTTAACAAACTCGTTCCTCTAATCTCAAGTTAATTTGTTAAAATTTACCTCGTTCTTGTCTTGGTCAAGTGCCGAATGAAACAAATGTATTACAATAGCGTTTTCTACATTTATTATCTCCGTAACAGATGTGAGATTGGCCAACGCATCTGCTTCTGCATTCTTCTCCCTGGGTATTTGAACAACTTTCCACGATTGAAATTGTCTGACTAGTTCTCGTACCTTTTTCAGGTATTGTTGCATTCGTGCCTCTCTTGCTATGTAAGTCCCCTGCATTTGGTTAACTACTAGCTGTGAGTCACTTTTGATTACAATCTTTTATATGCCAAGCTCTCGTGCTAGTTCCAGACTTACAATCACAGCTTCGTACTCTGCTTCATTGTTAGTGATGGGATAACATTTTATTGCTTGCCTTATGACTTCCCCTGAAGGTAAAATTAAAACAATACTTAGGCCCGTACCTTTAACATTCGAGGAACCATACGTAAACAAAATCCAATTCCCCGGATTAGATTCGGTAAATACTTATAATTCCTTTTCTGCTTGAGGAATTAAATTCGTTGTAAAATCTGCTACGAAATCTAATAAGACCTAAGGTTTTATCGTGGTTCTAGGCTGATATATAATATCATACTCACTAAGTTCTATTACCGACTTAGCTAACCTACCAGATAATTCTTGTTTATGCAATATATTCCTCAGGGGGGAAGCAATTATTACAGAGATAAGATGACACTGAAAATAAGGTCTCAATTTTCTAGATGCCATAATTAATGCTAAAGCAAGCTTTTCTAGATGAGGATATCACGTCTCAACATCTACAAAGATTTACTAATATAATATATTAGAGATTGTTTACCTTTATCCTCTCATACCAGCACTGCACTTACCGCCACTTCTGACACAACAAGTTAGATAAGTAACCTTTCTCCGTCCTTTGGTTTGGCCAGCAAAGGCAGATTTGACAAATACGATTTTAGGTCCTTGAGGGCTTGTTGGCATTCATCAGTCCATTCAAATTCATTCTGTTTTTTCACTACTGAAAAGAACTTAAAACTCTTTTCTGATGACTTTGAAATAAATCTCCCCAGGGCTGTTATTCTCCCTGTTAATCTCTGCACTTCTTTTTTTCTTGTGAGTACATCCGGTATTTCCTCAATAGCTTTGATATATGCAAGGTTTACTTCAATTTACCTATTAGAAACAAGAAACCTAAAAACTTACCTGAAGCTAAGTCAAAAGCATTTTTTTCTGGATTTAGCTTCATATTGTATTTGTAGAGAATCCAGAAAGTGTCTGACAAATGTTGAAAATTATCTCCTACGTGTGCTGATTTGACTAGCATATCATCAATGTAGACTTCCATAGTCTTTCCCAGCTGTTCTTAAAACATTTTAGTTACGAATCGTTGGTACGTGGGTCCAATATTTTTTAGACTAAGGGGCATGACTTTGTAACAATAAGTCCCCCTGTTTGTTATAAACGAAGTTTTCTCTTCATCTATAGGATCCATCCTTATCTTGTTGTATCCGGAGTATGCATCTAAAAGACTTAATAGCTCATGTCCTATGGTAGAATAAATTAGTTGATCTATGTGTGGCAAAGGGAATGAATCTTTTGGACAAACTTTATTCAAATCCGTATAATCTACACAAACTCGCCATTTCCAATTCTTTCTTGGAACTACCACAATATTAGCTAGTCAGTTGGGATATTTTACCTCTCAAATTTTTAAAAGCTTTTGTACCTCATCTTGGATTACTTGATTTTTGAAGGATCCCTGCTTCCTCTTCTTTTGCTTGACAGGTAGATATGATGGGTCCTCATTTAGTTTATGGGTCATCACCTCTGATGGTATACCTGTCATATCTGAATGCAACCAAGCAAAGCAATCCGCGTTATCATTAAAAGTTCAATCAACTTACCTTTCATTTTTGTGCTCAGATTCTCTCCGATGTAAACTTTTCTGTCTGGCCAGTGTATAAATAGCACCACCGCTTTGAGTTTTTTGGTAGTTGACTTAATGTTTTCATTTTCTTCTGGCTCTTGAATAACATCGGGTATTGAATCAACATCAGTTTGTGTTGGAATGCCTTCAGTTGAGGTTTGTACCACAACATCCTCAACTGAATTCTATAACTGCTATTTCTTGCCTGCAACATCGTTTACCATGCTGGTATCCCCCACTGAATTGATACTTCTAGAAGCTTGTTGATCTCTACGGATTTGACGAATTCCCCAGTGTGAGGGAAATTTGATAACTTGATGCAATGTGGACGGTACAACATCCATATCGTGAATTCATAGTCTTCCTAGGATTATATTATAAACCATATCTGCATCTATCACCTGAAACTTTGTGTCCTTGATAACTCCTTCTGCAAATGTAGCAAGTACTACTTCCCCTTTTGTGATAACACTTGAATTATCAAATTTAGACAAAGACCATGCCTTTGGTATCATTTTGTTGTTAGTTTGCATTTCATTCACCACTCTTAGTAAAATGATATTCATGGAACTACCTGAGTCAATCAAAACTCGTTTTACGTTAGTATTATGTACAAGTAAAGATATTACCTGTGCGTCCTTATGAGGAATCATCAAGTTGTAAGCATCTTCATCATCAAATGTTATACTCTCTTCTTCCAAGGTTTGGCGTATTCGTTTCCCATTAGTGGCTGTGATTTTTGATGTCTTCTTTGCAGCTGTATAAGTCACACCATTGACTTCGTCTCCCTCGGTTATTACATTAATTGTTCTTTTTGGAGATGGGGGTTTTTGGGGGTTGTTGTTTGTTCTTCATATATGATTGTCTACCTTTCTCGATGAACAGGTCAGTTGGATAACCTTGCTTCAACAAATGCTCGATCTCTCCTTGTAATAACTTGCAATCTGATGTTCTATGGCTATGGTGGTTGTGAAATTCACACCAATAATCTGGATTTCTTTTGCTCGGGTCTAATCTTATTTCTTTAGGCCACCACATCTTATCTCCCATACCTATTAAAATAGCCACCAACTCGGAGGTACTGACATTAAAACTATAGTCTCTGATTCTTGTATGTGTGCTGGAGTTACACCTCGTGTATCTCGTTACTTTCTGAATCTAGATGAAGAACCCGCATCTTTTTGTCTTGATCTCGATTCAGATCGTAAGTTTTTCTGTTAGGACCGAGAATCTCGACGTTCAGGACCCATGTAAGGCTTGTACATGTTTTCCCGGCTCTTTTATCTAATTCTGAACGTCTTGACCTTGCTCTCTCATCAACCCTTGGCAGTGCAATCGTATATTCTTTTATCCACAGCTTCGTGTTATATCTGTTATACACGTCATTCCAAGTTGTTGGTGGAAATTTTCGCAAACTTTTCTTAAGTCTCCTCGTGGCTTCTGGATTTTTCTCATTTAAATTGCTTGTGAACGCCATGGTTGCCCAATTGTCAGGTACTCGTGGTAACATCATCCTCTCTCATTGGAATCTATCCACGAACATTATGTCTTCCATCTTTTTTTAAGTTTTTGAGCTCCTGAGTGTGCTTTTATAAATGAATCTGCAAGCTCAGCAAAAGAATCAATAGAGTTTTCAGGTAAGAGAGAATACCACGTTAATGCTCTTTTCGTGAGTGTTTCACCAAATTTTTTAACCAAAACTGACTCGATTTCCTGCTTGGTTAAGTCATTGCCTTTCACGGTAGTTGTAAACACAGTTACGTGATCTCGAGGGTTAGTTGTTCCATTATATTTTGGAATGTTAGACATTTTAAACTTCTTAGGAATAGGCAAAGGTGGTGCACTTGGCTTCTAGGGCTGTTGTGAATATTTATCAATATCTACTCCTTTAATCACGGGAGCTACACCAAGTATTTGTTCTATGCGATCATTCTTTCAGCTGTTTTTGCAAAGTTAATACCAAACTTTATAAATCAAAGTTATTTGGTGTACTTGACCTTCCATCACGAGATTAATTGGGAGTTCCTCCGGTTCCGGAATTGGTGAGCCCCGAGTATGGGTTTTCTAGGGTCGCGGTATTGTTCGAAGGAGGAGTTTCCGGCGTAGTTGGCAATCCCCTAACAAAGGCTTGAAGAGCACTGTTCACGTGTTCCACGATCAATTGTTTTAAAGCGTCTTGTTCAATAGTTTGCTCGTCCCCTTGATGATCATTCACATGTAACGTTGATCTTTCAGGTGACCCCTCACGGGACTGTTGAGGAGCTCCTTGCGGAGAAGGGAGTGGTGGAGTTGCTCCCTCCTGTAAGTTTAACTAGTTATTTTCGTTGACAATTAACATGGTTGGTTGTCAGAAAGAAAATTTGGAAAGTGAAAAGATTATCAGTTTTCCGGTAACAGAACCAATTTGTTTAACCAAAAAATAGATTTATCGGTCAAAGTCTAAATTTAGAAGAAAACGAGTTACTGATAACCAAGTTTTATTTCACTTTTCCAATGTTAATTAGGAAAAAATAATATGAATGGTAAAGAAAATATACTGAAAGATACAAAAATAAATTGATGGACAATTTATAAAATGAAGGTTGAGAACTTCGATAAAGCAGAGAAGTAAAGAGCATATTTCACTAGTACTTGGAATCTGTCTTTACAAATAAAATTCGGTGTCCTCGTATAGGAGTTTACAATCATAACGGTTTTCTCATATAATTTGGGTTTATTATGGGCATTAATTGTATTTATTGCCTATTACCTCAGGTAATTGTAACTGGCGCATTTATTGCTATAAATGCCTTATAACTGTTCCGATTCCCCTTCCTTCTTTACTTCTGTTTCGTGTATCTTCCCTTCTTTTAGTTTTTATTCATTCCTTCCTTGATCTTTCTTTGCTTGGTTCTTCTATGCACTGTCTCGTGGGTGTTTCTCCCATGCCTTCCTCTCTCAATTAATTCTATTATTGAGAACGCCACTTGTCATTGCATCACTGCTCCACGCGTCGTGCTTTGTCAGTATACTAACATTTCATGTGTAATGCTCTTTTTCCACCGATACATTTATGATGGAGTAAGTGAGTAGATATCAAAGTGTATTTGGAAAATTGCAAAAAATAGGACACCATAAGGTGTGGTTTTTATCTTAACTTAAAGGTCAAAAGTTAAAAGTTTTCCCCATGGTTAAGTAACTTGCACCAAAGGAAGAGGGTAAATTTTACTGTGGTCATTCAAGTTAAGTTTTGTTATACAAAAGTCACTTTTTTTTGTAACATTAAAATCGTCTTTCTAAAACCTAATTAACAAAAATATAAAAGTGGCCGGAAGATGCTATTTTTGGCCTGAAACTGACGTGGCTATCCTAATTTGATAAATAAAAAAGATTAATTTGTGTTAAGAAATTAAGATAGCCATGTTACTTTTCTGGGCAAAAATGGCATCTTACGACATTATTATATTTGTGTTAACTAGGCTTTAGAAAGATGATTTTTATGTTCCAAAAAAAGAGAAAAGTGACTTTTATATTACAAAGCTTAACTTGAATGATTATCAATGGAATTTACACTTCAAAATCAGCTCCTTTCAAAGCCATATGTAAACTTATGGGCAGAAAGTCAACAATGAGAAAGGTTTTTCATGAGTTAGGTGATTTTATTATATCTAACTTTCGGTGCAGAGAATTATTCAATAGATATGTTAATAGGAATTAGGATACAAGAGATATCTAGTGAATTAATCAATATGTGCTCGAGCTAATGTTGGGAATAAACCCCATAAAAATAGTATTCACGGTATTAGTGATAAACGCAGAACACTAAGTTATGGTTAAATCAGCTAGAATAGAAATGCAGCAATAATGACACCAAGATTTTACGTGAAAATCCTTCTGAATAAGGGAAAAAACCACGGCCAAGAAGAGCAACTGATATCACTATAGCGAGGAAT